AAGTCCATGCACCATCTTTTACTGGCTGCTTGGGGGCAATGATAAATTAGAAATTGTTGTGGTCAGGTTTAGACTAGTTCACCTAGTTTCCGGAAACTAGTGAGATATTTTCGCAAAAATATAATAAAAATAGGTGACATTTCAAATAAAATTACACCAACGGCAAAGAATTAGAGAGTATTTTATCGTTTAGCTTGCAATGCGATCGTTCTAGCCGCCATTTTGAGAATCTTAGCACAGGAAACCCACATTTAATAACTGGAATATTAGCTCTTTTTGTCTTGTGGGAGGGGACCCATCGAAACTTTTTGTCAAAGAAAGCCAATCTTGAGCCCAGACCCTTATTTCGGTCTTTATTCCATTTCTGGCTTGTTCTGTTAAGACTTTTCACGGAAAAAATTGACTGCCTGACGTTTAGTTCTGGGGACTAAAACGTCAGGCAGTCGAAAAATCTCAAAGTGCCGTGCTTGTGACTATACAAACTTGTCGAACAGTATTATTTTCATCCTTAATAGGCCGTTTGCATTATGACGTAACTTAACTACAACTACCAGAGAGCCTTGCGCATTTTTTAATCCCCCTTGGAGATTAATAAAACAATTGGCACTAATTGCATTACAAAAGAAAGTTGGCAAAGCATTCTGGTAATTGTAGTAAATGACGCCATAATGCATATCGCCCATTGCATTTCCCTTGCTGTATTAATTGAAATTACGGTTGTTCCGATGATTTTTCAAAACAAACATTGACTGCCTGACGTTTAGTACTGGGACTAAACGTCAGGTAGTCGAAAAATCTCAAAATGCCGCGTGCTTGTGTAAACAAACTTATCGCTCAATGTCTTTTCGGTCTTTATTGCATTTCTCTTGTTGAATTCATTGAAATTACAGCTGTTTCGACGATTGTTAAAAAAAATTGACTGCCTGAATTTGCTGCACATTCCTAACTGGAATGCTTCCACAATGGTCCTTTTTTTATTTTTTTATTATGATTATTTCGTTACAGTGCTTAGAACTAGCTAGATTTGAATAAGCGCTATACAAATTTAATTGCTGCCGCAGCGTAGCGAGCCTGAGCGAGCGAAGCGTAGGCAGCAACTCTAATCTGGAGAAGGGCAAAATTTCTCGATTTTAACCCAGGATGCAGTACGTTTTCATTAACCGTCTTCCTTTGCGCCACTATAAAAGGGTGAACAGTCCCGGATGTTCTTTCTCCCTTGTGTTTACATTAGCTTGTATTCTTGAGGTGAGTCGAGTTTTGTTGTGTTATTTTGATTTTTTCTTGCTGTTTTTATTATTCAGAGCACTAATTCAAACAAGTATTAACCTCGAGTTCATATTCTCTGTTTCAGTTTTATCATTATTCCGTTATTTCTCGATCGTCTCTTGACAAAGATTGTGGTCTAAAGAGTTCTCGACAGTGAGTGCATCAAGGGCACTAGATCACTGAAATTATGACCTATAAGTTCGAGATGTCGCTTAATTTATCCAACCTATGATAGTCG